CCTCAAACTCACTATGTAGCCCCAGTTAACCTCAAACTCGTGGTGAATCCTCCTGTCTCAGCCTCCCAAGTACTGGATGACAGGCATGTGCCACCATACCCAGAAATGTCCATTTATTTATTTATTTATTTAGCAGTACCAGAGATTGAACTCGGGACCCTGTGCTTGCCAAGCAAGCACTTATTCTACTGAGCTATCTCCCCGCCCAGAAATGTCCATTTTACAGCATCTTGTATGTGTGTGTGTGTGTGTGTGTGTGTAACCAGGGATTGAACTCAGGACCTTGCACTTCCCAGGCAAGTGCTTATTCTACTGAGCTATCTCCCCAGCCACAGAAATGTCCATTTTACAGCATCTTGTGTGTGTGTGTGTGTGTGTGTGTGTGTGTGTGTGTGTGTAACTGGGGATTGAACTCAGGACCTTGCACTTCCCAGGCAAGTGCTTATTCTACTGAGCTATCTCCCCAGCCACACCCCCACTTCATATCCATTTTCAAGGAGAAGAAAACAAAGGAAAGAGGAGTTAAGAACCTGACCCTAAGATAATAGAGCTTGTCTGAGGTGAACTGCTTGTCTCCAGGAAACCCTCCTCAGGGTTATGCTAATTGATTGCTGCATCCTCAGGTTTCACCTGCCTTCCAGCAAACTTGGAAGATGCAATACAGAAAAATAGCAGGTTTTATTGATGGACTAGAGTTCCTCACTCTGTACCTCGCCTTCCACATTCTATAATACTTAAGAACCTAATATTTTGGAGAAAAGCCAAACTTTAATTGTATCTCTTAGGTTCTACCCCAAAAGCTGGACTACTAATTCTTTCTAGATTCAGTCTTGAACAGGAAAAATCAGTACACTCTGGTTTTATTTATTTATTCATTTTGGCAGAACTGGGGATTGAACTCAGACCCTTGTGCTTGCCAGGCAAGGGCTTATTTTACTGAGCTATCTTCCCAGCCCGACTCTGGCTTTATATAATCCCTGCCAGTCTGTTCATACTCAAGTGCCAATAAGTACACTCCTAATTCCTATTTGTTTTCTACAGCTGCTATCCTATGTCCTCTTCTGAACTCCATTTTTTGTCTTCTAGGTAACATCAGAGTGGCAATTCTCACACAGGAAAGACAGCAATATAACTGGAATACATATACTAAAAAGTGGGGAGGGGGGAGGAAACTGATCTTTTTGAAGTTGGGAAGTAATACTGGCATGTGAGAAAGCTCACCATGACATTTCTCTTTCCCATCAAGCTAAGAGAGCTAAGAACAGAGAGATTCAGGTTTTGGTGAGGTAAAGCAAGTGAAAGAATGCCAGGCATGGTGGCACACGTCTGTGATCCCAGCCCTCAGAAGATGAGGCAAGAGGACCACTGAGAGTTTGAGGCCAGCCTAGGCTACAGGCTATCTTAAAGGATACAAAAAAGTGAAAGAATATTTTTATTTTTTTAATTTTATTTTTTTGGTGGTACCAGGGATTGAACTCAGACCCTTGTGCTTGCCAAGGAAGCACTTATTCCACTGAGCCATCTCCCCGGCCCCCAAAAGAATATTTTTAAAGACAGTGAATGGAGCTCTGAGTGAAAAAGTCAGGAAACATTTTGCATAATCAAAAGGGGTAAGAAAGAAGGGATTATAATTCATTTCATTTTGATATAAATTTAAGTAAATACTTAAATTACTTCAGTTCTCCTAAATCTTCTTAGTTCCCTCTTTCCTGAAAAGATAGTTCAACTTCAGTCTGGTACCTTCTAATAGTCACAAATTCAGAATTTGTAAAAGTTCTGAGGTCATCTCAGTTATCCTGATATCAAAGTGGAGGAAAAGGAAAGACAGCAGACCAGTCACAGGGCAATAACTGCTAGGCCAACAAATAGTATGTGAAAAAGATGATAAAACAGTGTGTTTGTGCATGTGCTCCATATATATCACCAGATGGAGGAAGAAAAGCTTTATCAGAGCACATAAATCTGTCAAAGCATGCAGGTTCCACAGCTATCTCCCAAGCAGGATTATTATTATTATTATTACTTTTTTTTTTTTTTGGCGGAACTGGGGATTGAACTCAGGCCCTTGTGCTTGCCAGGCAAGCGCTTATTCTACTGAGCCATCTCCCCGGCCCCCTCCCAAGCAGGATTATGATCATCTCAAATTGGAGCTAACCCTAAACTGAGTCACAGGTGGTTGGTTCATATACAGACATCTCTCAAAAGCCTCACACACTCACAGGCAGAGCTTGTAGGAGGTGACTGGATTATGGGGCGAAACAGTTACATACGATGTTGGGAGGTGAAGTCTGGTCAGAAAAAGGGATCTTAGGGCCGCACCAAAAGGGTACACCTGAGGCCCTTCCACCATGGTGCCAACCATCCCAAGACTACAATGAGGATGGGTGTGGTGGCACACACCTGTAAGCAAAGCGCTTCAGAGGCTAAGGCAAAAGGACTAATGAAAGTGTGAGAAGGCCCAGGATACATCATAGCAAGACCTTATCTCAAAAAAAAAAAAAAAAAAAAAAACCCAAACCTAAAATGTGACCAAAAATAAACCTGACCCCTGAGCTGTAGGTATACAGTATTCTGTCCCAGCAATAAGAAAAGTGACAAAGACAGCAGTAAAAACTGATGCTCTCTCCTATCTGCCATCACACTGCAACTATGGGGCATTCTTTACCATCTGATATGTGTATATACCAGCAAAATGACCTATCTAGTACCTGACCCACAAAATCACAGCAAAGCTACATGATGAAAGCAGGTATTCAGATTACTTACTCAGTGCCATTCTCTCAGAAATGAAATTGAGGCTGAGAGAGAGATTTAAGCAACAGGTACAAAATGGAAAGCACTTAAATGAAACCACTATCTATTTAAAAGTACAGAACTTAAAATCAAATCAAAGATAATCAAAATCTTTTTGAAAAATGACTTCTAGCTTCATTTTTTACACAGAAAATTACAAACTGATATCCTTTCCCTCTTCCAGGAGACTTACATTATGTCAAATTAGGTCTTTTCCTGGATACACTTTAATTGCTTCTGGCAGATACACTATCATTCTGTTTTTTGTTTGTTTGCTTGTTTTGAGACAGGGTCTGAGTATGTAGTGCAGGCCGACCTTAAACTCCCTATGCAGCCCTCCTCTTCAGCCTCCTGAGTGCTGGGATTATAGGCAGGTAACACCATACCCAGTTTTTTTTTCTTTTAATTGAACTCTAATTCCAGTATCTTAAGTGAAGTCTTTTCACAATTATTCCTGAAGCTCAGCAAATTAAGCATGTTTATTAATTCTCATCCCATTAGATAAAAGTTAGAAGTAGCATAATTTAAATGTCAAGTGACCTTCCTTTTACAAATTAAAAAATGAGAGCAAGAGGTGATGGGGTATGCCTGAACTATAAGCAAGCAGGAGGCTGAGGAAGGAGGACTGCTGTGAGTTTGAGGCCAGCCTGGGCTACATAATAAATTCAAGGCCAGAGCAGACTACATTGTGAGAACCTATATTAAAAAGAAAAAAAATTAGAAAATGAGAGGTGGGTAGGTTTGAATATTTTATTATCCCTGAGACCTCCACAGGAAGGGATGGTACTATAGTTAAACAGAAAATAAATGCATACAGTAGATCAGGACCTGTGTCAGCAAGCATTGGTAACATGGCTTTAGCAGCACTCACTGGAAAAGCAGGTTGCACGTTATATCCAAAGAACTGGGAATAGAAATTCTGGAGATAACCTGAAATCTGTTTCAGGGAATTCCAATGGCATTTTCACCTTCTTACTGAATCAAAAGAAAATTGAATCTGGCATTGTGGCACACATGTGTAATCCCAGCACTTGGGAGACTGAGACAGGAGGATCATGAATTCAAGTCCTGCCTGGATAATTTAAGGAGACCCTGTCTCAAAAACATACAATAAAAAGGGCTGGGAGGTAGCTCAGTTCAAAGTTCCTGGGCCCAACCTTTAGTACTGAAAAACAAAAAATACAGAATAATACGGTACACAACCTCAGATGATTGACCCAGTAAGTCTTGTTGCCCATGTGTATGGAGAATTAGATTATATATCTGGGAGGATGAGAGTGGGACAATATGCTATTAGTCGATAGAGGGGAAAATTTTAGCCCTGGGAGACTGAGCAGCTCATGTAGGTCTGTCCTTCTGACAACAGAGAATTTCCACCTCAAGATTATTCTGCAAAACTATTCTGCAGGCACTAGGAATGAGAGCTGATGCTAACCAACTATTTCTTCCAGTGTTAATTAATAGTGATTTTCTAGTTAATAATTTATTTGTTGCTCTAGAATTTAATTCAATAATTATACTCACTAAACTATCTCCTATCTGTAAATTTCACTATAACATGCAACTTTCACTGATGGGAGATTCCTGGGTGCCCAGCTTGAAAGAAATGTCAGCTGTTTACCACAGTGAGAAAACTTTCAGTAATGTTTAAATTAGTTAAATGATTCACTCACACTTGTTACCCTACTCCATCTCCTCCTGCTTTCCATTTGCCTTTTCCTTTCACTGCCCCACTCAAATAATGTGAGCAAACATTGGAAAATGTTCTGTAGCGAGACAGCAAATAATTTTAGGCCTTCTGGGCTCTGTCTTTGAAGTACAAAAGTAGCCATAGACAAATCCATCAATGAAAGGGTGTGGTCCAATAAAACTACAGGCCAGATTTGGCTTACATGGGCACAGTTTACCAACTGTGGTACAGAGCAGCAATTTCTAAACTTAAGCCTGTATCAGATTCACTATGAGACTTTCAGTAAACAGATTTCTAGGTCTGAGACTATAAGTCTTTTCGTAAGTTTCCCATCGATACTGATGCTGTTGGTGCGGAGATCACACTTTGAGAATCACTGTTACAGAGTAATGATCTGTACTAGACTCAACAAAAGGCTGAAAAGTACCAAACAATTAATTTAGAAAAATGGAAATGACATTTGCAAGTTGGCTAATTTCACTGAATATTTTATTGAATATTTCATATGAAGACTTACTGTTAAGTGCCATAATATTATCTGTTCCAGGATGATGGAAATTTATTCCCATGCGGCCTAAAAAATAAAATAATTTTATTTTAAGTGCAAAGAATGCCCAATTTAGTCATTTCAAATACACTGTAAAACATACACATTACAAAAAGTTATAACAAATTAATCTAAAACAAGGTTACCAGAGGCCAAGGCAGCAACAGTTTTTAAATCAAAAACAAAATTATAAAAAAAAATCAAAAACATATATGAAAAATCTTAAAACAAAGCCAATGTCCCCAGCACAAAATACAAAACAAAAAAGAAGCTTCCATAATAACAGCCTACATAGATAATATACATTATTGCTCACATTCTGATTTAAACATGCCAACTCTCTGGATTAAGCATTTTATTTAAACAACCATTCACACTGCCCTTCAAATTCAAGCATAAAATAATTCAAAATAGATAAATAAAGCTTAGTGAGAATAAAAAGATAATATGCAACTTAATTATCAGAATGGCAACTGGAAGAAAGATGGTAAAATTTATGTAACAGATATAGTGCAAAAAATGACTATAATCTAGCGCTCTTGTGCTACTTCTACCACTAACTAGGTCTTTTTTTTTTTTTTTTTTTT